TTAACTCTGAAAAGATTACCAAAATTGTTTCACCACTCTTGAAGATATATCCCAAAATACGAAGAAAATTGGTGATTTTCTTAAATTAAAGATACCGCAAATACCAGAGCTGATGGATTATAGGCGTAGTGGCAACTTATGCTTAGAAAAGCCTCATTTATCGAAATAAAATGGTGGCAGGCCTGGACACCGACCCATGTCACATTTTGTCGGCCAGTGCTATGCAATTCGGACTAAGTGCAACTTATGAGAAACAAAATTTAAAATGGTGTGGGCTATATTTCAAGTTTAACAATAAGCTCTAAATAATCAGTTGACTCCACTTTTGTTCGAGTTTGAAAAAGTCATAAAGTATGCAACCACCCTTGTTGTCAAAAGGGGGGGGCCAAAGGTACGCAGCCACATGGCCCATTTGGAGCGCAACGCTTTACCTAAAGATCGTTCGCAGTTTACTCAAAAATAAGACATACCAAGAAATATTCACAAAGTCGTAAACACTGAATATACCAGCAAGCCGTGCAAATAAATTGGTTCAAACTTAAACACACATAGGTACAGAATTTACGATTCACAAACACTTCCTTACGGACATGCTTCTGCATCAATGCAGCGAGCATTGGACACGATCTCGAGTGATTTAAGATAGCACACAAAAAAGATCACAACTCATTAGGCTATTTACCAGGCCGCGGGATTAAGGCACCCGGCATTTATAAACGAATCCGATAGTCGGCTATTAATGATCTCGCGCTGCGAGTAATCCGCAGCGCCCCAAATCCCCCCCCCCCCCCACCACGTTGAAGGTGTTGATAATCAGTGAAAACTCATTACAACAAACCCCCGATGGTTGACACAAACCAAATGCCAAAAAGGCCAATTAAGGCGTTATTATCCTCTGCAGACGTACAGATGCAATGCCGTTGCCGATGCTGATATAGCAAGCGAAACAATTGTATCTACAACTGAAGAAGCGCATTTCCGTTGCAATGTAAATAGACACAAAAGAGAAGTGTTTTTCGTAGATAAATAAAACGCTCTCTACAAAAACAAATAGGCGCACGCTGGCAGCACAGAAAGAAACTAATTTTATTTAGCGCGACGTCTTAAAAAGCCAATAAAAAACAAGAAGATCATTCCTATTAAACTACAAATTACAAAATGTTAAATTTCCTATTGATTGACATCTTCCTATAGCAGAAGTAGTAGTAAACAAGAAAGAAAGCTAGCTCCGGCCAGCCGAAGCTTATATACCCTTGCAGATAATTCCTATTAATCACTAATTTTACGATCGTTCCTATGGCAGCTATATGTAGTAGTTCGATATTGATAAAATTAAAATTGAAATTCGAAAACATTTAAAAATAGTCATATCCCAGAGTAGAAGAGAAAACGATCAAAACCAACGAAGCAATAATTTATTTCCTATTATATTCCCATTAACTTTCCGATCGTTCCTATGGCAGCTATATGATATAGTCGTCCGATTTTGATTTATTCGAAATTCAGAATTAGATAAAAAATGGCATTTCCAAAAGTAGGAGGTTATAGGTTTAAAAACACCCAAGATATAATTTTTTTAAAATTTTGTTCCCCGATTATTCCTATGGGAGCTATATGATATAGTTGTCCGATCCGGCTCGTTCCGACTTATATACTACCTGCAATAGATATAAGACTTTTTGGAAAGTTTTAGCCCGATAGCTTTAAAACTGAAATACTAGTTTACGTAGAAACAGACGGACGGACAAACGCACATGGCTAGATCGACTCGTCTAGTCATGATGATAAAGAATATATATACTTTATAGGGTCGGAAACGTCTCCTTCACTGCGTTGCAAACTTCTGACTGAAATCATAATACCCTCTGCAAGAGTATAAAAAACCAACGAAGCTATAATTTGTATCCTATTAATTTCTCATTAATTTTCCGATTGTTCCTATGGCAGCTAAATGGCACTAGATCGAGTCGTCTAGTGATGCTGATCAAGAATATACATATATACGAGGGAGATTGAGATATGCAGTCATCAAAGGTACTCTCGCCATCTAGCGGCTATTAAAATTTTTGATGGCTCCATCTAGCAGCTGTTTAAACTTTTGCTCAAAACTTTTTTATGAAAGATCTGATTTAAAAAAAAGTTTCTACATTTTGGTCTGTATTTTTGAACACAACCAAATTACATTTATACGTTTCGAAAATCTTTAAAGATGTGAGCGCCATGTCTGCAGACACATTTTATAGTCCTTTAAGGAGATTGTAGGCGTTAGAGTGGGCGTGGCGCTCGGTTGAAACAAATTTGAACTGCGTAGAAAGCCCTGGAATATGTGTGTAGAATATCACAGTGCAACATGAAAAATGTAACCGCAATTCTGATTTCATGGGCGGAAAGAACTCATCGAAATAAGCTTAAACCCATTTGGGTTTCGCTGGCTTAGTTCGCGTTTACCTTTTATAGCGAGTTAAAGTTTTACATACAAAATTTATTTGTAACGGCCATATCTTGTGAACCGATTAAAATTTCACTATCAAGTCTTCAGTGATTATGTAGCTAGTTAACCCAAGGAACTAAATTGACAAATGACTCTTGCGCACTTAGCACCTAGTGCAACTAGCGCGTTAAAAAACCAATTTGCCTAATTTTTCGATTTTTAACGCGCTAGGTGTACGTCTTCGCAAGAGCCATTTGTCAATTTAGTTCCTTGGGTTCATAGCTACATAATCACTGAAGACTTGATAGTGAAATTTTAAACGGTTCACAAGATATGGCCGTTACAAATAAATTTTGTATGTAAAACTTTAACTCGCTATAATAGGTAAACGCGAGCTAAGCCAGAGAAACCCAAATGGGTTTTAGCTTATTTCGATGAGTTCTTTTCGCCCATGAAATCAGAATTGCGGTTACATTTTATAACCCTAAAAATGTTGCACAGTGTATCCTAACGTTCTAGCTTTTTTAGTTTCCGAGATCTCAGCGTTCATACTGACAGATAGACGGACTTTTCCTCGAATACAATATACCTTTTTACTCTACAAGTAACGGGTATAATTATGTACCCCTTTTTGGTGACCATGGTTAATCCCTTCGTGGTTTTAGGGACTTATCGTCTTTCTTCTTGCATTGCTCTCACATAGCACACAGTAAGTAAATCACGTTTGCTTCATTACACTCAAAGTGGAATCTAAGCACTTTTAGGATATCTTTATGATGGGCTAGGATCGAATATATTCTTAGATATTTAAAAAACATTTAAATGAAGGAAAGCACTTGGCTCGACCTCAACCCCGTGTGCCCCATGTCGTGCTCGATTACCCCAAATAATTTTCGCTCTCTATATATAATTGTTGTTGTTTAGATTGCCGCTTGAGGTAAACAAATTTTTTGCCACCGAGCCACAAAATGCTTCAATGATAATATCCAATTAAGTGAAAATTTTATTATAAACAAACCCATTTAAATATTTTCAACGTGCATATTACACAGGTCAACAAAATGGACTTTATTAAAAGGTGCAGGCCTATGGGCATTAAAATATGTTAATATAGACGTATATAAGAATATCTGCATACTTCTTTTTCGCGTTTAACGGGTGGTATTTGTGCAATCGCGGTTTGAAAAAAATAGCAACATTTAATGTTTTGATTTAAGATATCTTCGACGGTCTTTGCCCAACTGTATTAAAACCTATGCCAAAAAATGGCTTAGATGCCCATTTACTTAATTGCATTTAAGGTTCCATTATTATTTGAGTCAATCAAAGCCTATGAGCCATTGAAGTAATTTGTTCACCTCTATTCCCAACCAACTTGATGCGGTGAACAGGCTTAAAAAAATACAAGGAAAAATATGTGCCCTAAAATATTTGACAGGCATCTAGAGGCGTCTTTCACCGAATTTTTAAGATAAATAAGACCATTATACGTCGAAGGATGGAATTTATAGAATTTTTTTCATAGGAACGTAAAAAGTAACAAGTATTTTTGAGTAACTATTACGTAACGAGTTGGTCGTGACTTCACACAGTAGGTTTTTTAAAGATAACAGTGGCGTAGCCTTAAAATTGTGGGGGGAGATATTTAACAGGCATACTAACCCCTTGAAAATACAAATTTTCGATGTTCGGCGCCTACTGCTAAACAAATTGAAAGGCAAATTTCTACGAATGTGTCAGATATTTATGTAAAATGGAATTTCAAAATTCTTGTTACTTTTTCCGTTCTTACGGAAAAAATTCTATAAATTCCATCCTTTGAAGTACAATAGTGGGTTTTATCTCAAAAATTCGGGAAAAGTCGTGTCTAGATGCCTGTCAAATATTTTACGGCACATATTTTTCCTTGTATTTTTTAAGACTGTTCACCGCATTAAGTTGGTTGTGAATAGAGGTGAACAAATTACTTCAATGGCTCATAGGCTTTGATTGACTCAAATAATAATGGAACCTTAAATGCAATTAAGTAAATGGGCATCTAAGCCATTTTTTGGCATAGGTTTTAATACAGTTGGGCAAAGACCGTCGAAGATATCTTAAATCAAAACATTAAATGTTGCTATTTTTTTCAAACCGCGATTGCACAAATACCACCCGTTAAACGCGAAAACTAAGTATGCAGATATGCTTATACCCGTCTATATTAACACAATTTAATGCCCATAGGGCTGCACCAAAAACACTGTCGGCCTGTGTTATTGATCAAAATAATTTACTCAAGAAACAAAAATAGGAATTTCATATTTTTCGTGCTAAAAATTTTTTTTGACTGCGAATAATGTACTATTTCCTCCGGATATACTGTACAACTAGTAAGGGAGGATGTGGTCCATAAGTAATGGTGGTATTCTTATAAAAATAAGTACCCCAATGAATGAATAACAAACTCAGCCGGATTCGCTAAAAAAACAATCATGTGTTCAAGAAAATGAGAGTAATTGCTAATTTAAGAAGCAAAGTGTATCCATCATTCAATCGACTCCAACACTTTATATCTCCAAACAAACAGCGGCACCAACATATCCCACGCTGGCTACAAACGCTTTGCTGCGCTTCCATCAGCATCAGAAACAGCAGCATCAACATCACCATCCCAAACAGCTCCATCAGCAGCACAAGCCCCCGCAACATAATTCGACGACAGGTTCGGCGCTGCTGGCGCCTCTTCACAGCCTCACAAGCCTGCAGTTGTCGCAGCAACAGCGATTTATGGGCAAGGCACAGCTACTGAACATCACGCCCACACCGCCCGCATCAGTCATATTACAAAATGGTGGTTCCCCACAAGAGGGTAACAGCAGTTCTACCAGTAACGCTTCCGCAGGCAACAATGGAAAGCGCAAACGCTCATGGTCGCGGGCCGTCTTCACGAATCTCCAGCGCAAGGGTCTGGAGATTCAGTTCCAGCAACAGAAATACATTACCAAGCCAGATCGGCGAAAGCTAGCTGCTCGACTGAACCTGACCGACGCACAGGTGAGTTAAAAATATTGGCCTTGGCGCAAGTTTTAACTTAGAGTCGGTCACGGGTATTCAAACATAAGAAGGTTTTAAAAGAAAAATACTAAAACCTTTAAATAAACTTTGTCTCTTAGTTTATTGAAGTAAAACAATTTTTTTTAACTAAAAAGCATTTGGCACCGTCGTTTCCTTAGTATTTGGCAAAATTTATTACAATAGGAGGGTTAGCATCTGTCAATGTCGAGATGCTCGTCTATTCGTTCTCAGTAGGCGGAAGGAAGGCCATTTAGGCCGATCCACAGTTGGATAACAGAGTCCGATTTTGCGAAAAACGGTAAGAGCTAGAGCAGCCAAATTTTTGCACAGTATTCCATTGGGGGCGTAGGCGCCCACTAAGGTCCGACATGTCCCCCCAGTGGCCCCAAACAGCTCCAACATCCATATTTTGAGCAAAAAAACATTAGATGTACTTAAGCGTAACTTCTAAGCTTTTAACATTTTTATACCCTTGTAGAGGGTATTATAATTTCAGTTAGATGTTTGCAACGCAGTGAAGGAGACGTTTCCGACCACATAAAGTATATATATTCTTGATCAGCACCAGCCGAGTCTATCTAGCCATGTCCGTCTGTCCGTCTGTCTGTCTGTCTGTCTGTCTGTCTGTCCGTTTCTATGCGAACTAGTCTCTCAGTTTTAAAGCTATCGCGATGAAACTTTACCGAAAGTCTTCTTTCTATTGCAGGTAGTACATATGTCGGAGCCGGATCGGACCACTATATCTTAAGGCTTCCATAGGAATATTCAAACAAATATAAGAAAATTCATTGTAACTTTGTAGGAAGTAGGCGTTTTAATTCTTGACTACTTAAAAACAAAATTGAAATAGAAACGCTGAATCTGGAATCCCTGAAATTGCACCGAGTGAGCATTACTTTATCTGCAAGGGCATATAAGCTTCGGCTGGCCGAAGGTAGCTTCCTTTCTTGTTTTAAGTATTTTTAACGAATTTATTTAGATTTTTTAAGTTATTGCGTGGCACTTTGTGGGAGCCTGCCGAGAGAGCGAAACCCAGAGAGCCGATGCCAAGAGAGCGACGGCCGAGAGAGCAACACCCAAGTAAACTGATAAGGGGGAGGGGTAGTGCTGCATGGAAAGGGGAGGGAAAAGGAGCAATTTAAGTTAAAATTTGTTTTGGATTTAAAAAACAATATGCTGCTCCGATTAATATGATTTTCGATCAATAGTCAGTCCTGTGGATCAAATGCTTAGGTTTTATTTTTAAAAAAGTATTTTTCATTTTGTAGCAGAAGTAACATCCCTATTAAAATTCCACCATGACCATGTAAGCAAAGCTAAAATGTGTCCAAGTTAATTACACTATGCAGCATCAAAAATGTACCTCGATGGATGATATATTTTTGGATTCGTTACGAATTCCCAAATTAAACTGCGTTTTCCAAAGAGTTCCCCGACGCAAGGATTCTTAGCAAAAGGACCTCAAAGTTCGAAAAATGCTGAAATTGACCAACTTTGCGGAGCTCTCAGAGGCAAATGGATGCATGGTTTGATTCGATGTTAAAGTTTTTTAAAAGATACACCCTTTATCTTTCAAAAAATAATTTTTCTTTTTTCATTTCTTTTCAGCCAATGCAAAATTTGTCGAGTTTAAAATTAATAATTATCAATCAAATGTGGAATCGGAAAATAATAAGTTACTTTTGCTACTTTTGTATTGCATGCCAACCTTTTCGAGCATGTACAAATGTTTTTGTTTTATTGAAAGCAACCAATTAAAAAACAACAAATTTAAAAACAACCAATCCAAACATGTTTACATTTGTGCGCAAATTAAAATTTGCTTTGATAATTGTTGGGATTCTAAGTTCAAATAAACAAATCAGCGTATTTCGTATTCGATTACACAGGTCAACAAAATGGACTTTATTAAAAGGTGCAGGCTTATTGGCATTAAAACATGTTAATATAGACGTATATAAGCATATCTGCATACTTAGTTTTCGCGTTTAACGGGTGGTATTTGGGCAATCGCGGTTTGAAAAAAATAGCAACATTTAATTTTTTGATTTAAGATATCTTCGAGGGTCTGTGCTCAGTTGTAATAATACCTATGCCAAAAAATTGCTTAGATGCCCCTCTACATTATTGCACTTAAGGTTCCATTATACTTTGAGTCAATCACAGCCTATGAGCCATTGAAGTAATTTGTTCACCTCTATTCCCAACCAACTTAATGCGGTGAACACGCTTAAAAAAATACAAGGAAAAATATATGCCCTAAAATATTTTACAGGCATCTAGAGGCGTCTTTCACCGAATTTTTAAGACAAATAAGACCATTGTACGTCGAAGGATGGAATTTATAGAATTTTTTCCGTAAGAACTTAAAAAGTAACAACTATTTTTAAATCCCATTTTACATGAATATCTGACACATTCGTAAAAATGTGCCTTTCAATTTGGTTAGCAGTAGGCGCCGAACATAGACAAATTATATTTTTAAGGGGTTAATATGCCTTAAAAAAAATCCCCACCACAATTTTAAGGCGACGCCACTGTTATCTTTAAAAAGCCTACTGTGTAAAATCACGACAAACTCGTTACGTAAGAGTGACTCTAAAATACTTGTTACTTTTCCCATTCTTACGGAAAAAATTCTATAAATTCCATTTTTCGAAGTACAATAGTGGGATTTATCTCAAAAATTCGGGAAAAGACGCCTCTAGATGCATGTAAAATATTTTAGGGTACATATTTTTCCTTGTATTTTTTTAAGCCTGTTCACCGCATCAAGATGGTTGTAAATAGAGGTGAACAAATTACTTTAATGGCTCATAGGCTTTTATTAACTCAAATAATGATGGAACCTTAAATGCAATTATGTAGAAGGGCATCTAAGCAATTTTTTGGCATAGGTTTTATTACAACTGAGCACAGACCCTCGAAGATATCTTAAATGAAAATATAAAATGTTGCTACTTTTTTCAAACCGCGATTGCACAAATACCACCCGTTAAACTCGAAAACTATGTATGCAGATATGCTTATATCCGTCTATATTAACACAATTTAATGCCCATAGGGCTGCACCAAAAACACTGTTGGCCTGTGTTATAGTTTCGTTTATTAAGCACAATCAACCACAGCTTACGAGATCAGAAATAAGAGAGAAGGATTAACCGCGTGGTTCACGCTTTAGTGTTACCAGAGATCGATAACAATATAATGCTGATTTTGGTATATACTATAAATTATAATAGGGTTATTCAATACGCCCCCTCAAAATTAGCATTATAAAGAAAATTTAAATTGAAAATTAATTTTACATTTTTCAACTTAATCTATGTGGCTTGTGCTTGCTTGTGTTCTTTCTTTTCTTTTCTATTGGGAAGGTACAATTCAGTGATCCAGCATTCGCTGCTAGGATTGGGAAAACCCAATAAAACCCAATCAGATCACTTCTTAAATTAAAATAGTAAGGGTTCATAAATAAAGATATTCATTATTGTCGTATGGCTCGGATTAGTCTTTGTCTGCTCCATCCAGTCCCATTTTTCCTCGTAAATCCATGAAGCGTGGAGCAGGTAGCGGCTTAGTTAGAATGTCAGCAAGTTGGTTCTCTGTGGAAATATACTCGATACAAATTACATTATTTTCTATTTGCTCTCTATTTTATATCAATATGTTTAGATCTTTTATGGCATGAGGGATTATTAGCTATACTAATACATCCCTGATTATCTTCATATATTTTTATAGGTCTTTCAAATTCGATATGAACACTTTCTAATAGGGATTTCCGCCACAAGGCTTCTCTTACAGCCTCGAACCATGTATTCTGCCTCAGTCGATGAAGCAGCTACTGAATTTTGCCTTTTCGTATTCCAACATATAAGATTTTGGTTAAACATTTTGAATAGAAACCCTGTTGTACTCTTTCTATCGATTTCATTTCCTCCCCAGTCAGAGTCTGCGTACCCTACAAATATATTTTCAAAACTCGTATTCTTTTTAAATTCTAATTTCATATCAATATTCCCTTTTAGATATCTAAGAATCCTTTTTAAACATAGCCATAATTCTGCATTATTTTTATTCATATATCGACTTAAAATATTAACAGCAGTGGCCAAATCTGGTCGTGTACATAACATAACATACATAAGGCAACCGACTAAATTTCGACAAGGCGCGTCATGCCATTCATCTGAATTTAATAATTCATAATTAAGCTTGCTTGCTAGTGGAGTACTGACTGATTTACAATCACTCATATCACTATGGACGGCAGTCCATGTAGTGACGAAGCGCACCAGGAAAGTGTGCGAAGGCGACTACTATTATATAGCCGCAAAATTGAAAATCTGCTGTGATAGTCCGATCGTAATGAGTAATACACCAATCCAAAGGTATTGCAAAAACTTAAAGGATTGCATACCAAGACTTTAAGAAAAACAATTGGCTTGGGAGAGAGAGCGGTGAAAGTAAAAAAGTGAAAATTTCGAAAATTGGAGCTGTTGGGGCCGGTGGGGATAAATGCCTCCTCGCAATGTTTTAGTTGTATTCCTTTTGAAAATAACCGTCGAATGAGGGGTCATTTGTCAAAATCCGACGCTCCGTTCAAGTTATAGCCAAAATAAGATTTTCTTCTTCTTCCCAAAATGAAAATTTAATTCTGTTTGTCAGTTTGTCCAACACATGTTTCTTAAGTTTTGAAAATTTAATATGACGTTCATCACATCGATATAAGAAACTTTTGTTCTACCACTTTTGGAAAAACTCGCTAGTTTAGCGGGAAAACAGCTATAAATAGCTAAAATTCGGAAAACCGTAACTTCTATAACAGTAACATCCCTATTAAAATTCCACCATGACCATGTAAGCAAAGCTAAAATGTGTCCAAGTTAATTACACTATGCAGCATCAAAAATGTACCTCGATGGATGATATATTTTTGGATTCGTTACGAATTCCCAAATTAAACTGCGTTTTCCAAA